ACATCCAGAGATGTGCCACTGGGTCTGTGTCAAGCATGTAGCTTAGCGATAAGTCTAATCGCTGCAGATCACATTGTGGGAGTTCTGAGCGAGCCGGGGTTATTCTGAAAATAGGAAAATGTAATTGTGAATGCTCAGGAGGAAATTGGACAGCAAGCAAACATCCTTTGGTCACTGAAGGATGTTTACAAGCTTCAACTGCATTCAAATCAATAGTGCCGATAAGCAGAAAGAAAGATTCCTTACAAATCTACAGTATACACAAGTACACAGTCCTGTGCCAATATAGTTTTTTCCCCGTATAAATATAAGACATCGCACGTGATCAATAAATGTATGATACCTGGTCTGCTGCATTAAGTACCACACATGCCAAAGTCTTATATTACCCTGTGAGGTATATATGGAGATTGCCTGACTAACAAAGTGACCTTTTTTGTCTATCGATTGCAACTATAATAAGGTTACACACAAGCAAAATAGTCTGGAATGCTCAGCCATTTATCAGATTGCATGTTTGCAGGAAAGAGTGTCATTTTCGCTTATGAATAATGGCCCCAACAAGTTTTATTAAAGGAAGCATTATTGGATTTCCGTTTGTTGGCTAAGTAAGGATTGAGACTGGATTGAGGTTGGATTGAGACTGCTCATTACTCAGAGGAGTGCGTGCACTTAGCCTCGATTATTTCCTGCTCATTCTGAATTGTTCTCCACTTGATGTGGCACATGAACGATTTAACTTCTGCAGTGACAACAATACAAATGTATTTTGATCAGAGCAAAAGTGAAAGAATTTCAACATGTTCACCACAGTACTGGTGTGTATGGAGCATCTCATGACATACAGGGGAACATATTGTGGATACAAGTAAAGAATTCATTCTGATGACTTAATGTGTGCTCACATATTAATAATTTGTTCCCTCATTTTTGTTAAATCATGCCCAAGTTTAAATAATTTGTTCCCTCATTTGAGGTAAATAGAGTACTACAAAAAGGCGTTGCTTTATAAATGTAAAGTTCCTTATGAGCATAAAACAAGGGGATGTGGAATCAAGAGATGGGAGCAAGTACGATAATTATAACCGTAACATTTTTAAAATCACATGAAAGCAAAACCAAAAGCAAAAGTTTAAAAGTATGCAAAGCAGTTATCTTAATAAAACATAACACAAATGCATACTTAGAATAAAAAGAACAGAATGATAATATAGTTTTTGTTGTAGTTTACCTAAAACTAGTGAACAAATTAGTAAAACGTTGCCAAGATTACCTTAAAATGAGGAAACAAATGAATAAAGCAGGCTCATGTGTGAAGTCTTGGGAAATAATTCTTCAAATTCTCTCAAATGCAGTTTGCAGGCAGATTTATCCACACACATGCATAACAATCAGAGGACTATAAAGCTACATGATGGTAAGTAACACACAAACAAGCACATGTAATATGGCAAATTCTGATTATTCATCTATAAATACTCCCTCAAACCAATTTTGCACAGTTTTATTTATTGTTATAGCCCAGCTGCAAATCATTGGTGGTGCTACAATACCTCTGCCACAATCATGTAGAAGGAAAAAGTGATGTATTATTCACTGTGATGTTAACTTTATGGATGTATGGAAATAACTGATAGCCATGTCTTGTTTTTATCATAAATAGAATTAGCAATGAATCAGTAGATACATTTCAATCCTTTGAAAAAAAGGGCACTAAAGTACTCAACTCAGATATATTTCAACTTCAACCTAATGATCTGTAAAGTATTTAAGTAAATTTTCTGAATTGCTTAATTATCAAGTTGCATTTCCTGGGATTTGGATTAGGGATTTGCACGATTAACTGAGTATTCAAGTGACAGCAGTGATTGATAATTAAAACACACTGATTACATCAAAGCTGGTGTCAAATACAATAATGGGGTTTAAACTAATTACATGATTTGTTTGTTATGGTGGCATTTTTGTGGTACCATGTGATTTCATAAGTGTGAGGAAAATGGCAACTTGTGTACATGGTGACTAAGTCAAGGGGACTGTTACAACTCCAATGCATATATATATATACACACACACATTTATTTATTTATTTAGTCATTTAGCAGACGCTTTTATCCAAAGGACAACAGGAGCAATTAATTGTAGTATTAAAACAACTAAAAACAGATCCAAAACTAAAAGCTAAAACTTTATAAATACTACTTATACACATTTTAAAAATAAAGAAATTAAATAAAAATGACAAATGCATACAACAAAATTTCAAAACGTAACATTTAAATGAAAAACAAAAAAATAAAGCTAAAAACTATTCAAAATATTAAAGAACAAAAGGTATGAGTATAATAATGATTCTAACATGACACTAAGCCAAACACACACAAAAAAAACTACATATATGTGAATGTACAACCATACACACACACACACACATATATATATGAGCTGCCTGTTGTGACATTTAATTAAGCCGCGACTGCTGTAGCCTATATCCAGTTAGGCGTGTTTTCCCTTTTTTTTTTGTATATATACTGTATACAGTATATATGGTAACATAGGGACCAATTCTCACTATTAACTAGTTGTTATTAGCATGCCTATTACTATCATATTGGCTGTTTATTAGTACTTATAAAGCACATATTCTGCATGGCTATATTCTACATCCATAGTCCTATCCTTAACAACTACGTTACTAACTATTAATAAGCAGGGGTTTGTTGAGGCAAAAGCCATAGTCAATGGTTTGTTAATAGTGAGAATTGGTCCCTATGTTACCATATATACTGTATACAGTATATATGGTAACATAGGGACCAATTCTCACTATTAACTAGTTGGTTATTAGCATGCCTATTACTATCATATTGGCTGTTTATTAGTACTTATAAAGCACATATTCTGCATGACTATATTCTACATCCATAATCCTATCCTTAACAACTACCTTACTAACTATTAATAAGCAGGGGTTTGTTGAGGCAAAAGCCATAGTTAATGGTTTGTTAATAGTGAGAATTGTACCTTAAAATAAAGTGTGTGTATATATATTTTACATATTTTTTACAATTTATTTTACAGATTTATTTTTTATTAGTATTAAGTTCTTAAGTAGTTAAGTAGTTAATTTTTCCCCATATTTATTCATTTTTATTTTTATATGAATTACTTCTAATTTAGTAAATATTACATTAAACTAAATAGTATGTAATAATTTATTATTATTAAATGAAATAGTGTGATATATATTGGCCACCCTGCTCTAGGCATCATCAGCCATCAAAAACTCAGTATCAGTTTACCACTAGATTGTACAGTACATATAGTGTATGTTATTGTATTCAAAAAATGTAAACTATTTTTTATGTCAACAACATCTTAAAAACAGCTATGGTGCAAAACAGAGGCTATTATAAAAAAAAAAGCACAAACTGAACTTGCTCCATCTCGCCTCATCTCCTGAGTACTGAGATGATTTATCTGTGTCAAATTCAAGCAGTTAAAATGACCATAACACATATCCAGTTTCCTCCCATGTGCTTGTACTCAAAGGCTCTAGCCTGCATGTTTATTCCCTCAAATGGAAAAGTAAACACCATTATTTCAGCTGCAGCCAATGACGACGCGACAAGCATTGGTCCTTGGGATCAGCCAGTGCTGTTTCATGATATGCTGCATTGTGGGTAACATTACGACTGGCTTTCACCATCTGTTTCTAATTTGCAATACCCCCCTTTGCTTTCCCTACACTCCTGCAAGAGTGTGACCCAATATGAGTAGCATAAGTCCAAACAGACCTGAAGAGATGCCATAACTTCCAAGTCAGCAATCAAGGGACATTATTTAGTAATATCTGGGAACGTTTCTTCACATCAGCTGCTCTTTTTTACACAATATTTTCTATTGCGTATGAGGGTCCCTCATTGACTAAACTGTTTTTCACCACTGGGATTTAAAGAAACTGCACAATCTAGGTTAAAGTTTGTGTTTGACCTGGCTAGAATCACAAACTGTGAAAAATAACCTAGAGCTGAGGAGTGAATATTCAAGCTGTATTTACAATGGTTTTGCTGGTAATATAATTAAGCAAAACTATGAATATTGCAATGATTTTATTTGTCCATTAAGTTGAGGATTTGTCATGAGACTAATTTGCCCCATTAGACACATGCAGGGCATATGATATGAATCAGTTCAAACAGTCTATTTAAGTGAACTGATTAAAAAACGTATGATTTTATGATTCATTTGCATTAACACACAGTTATATTGTTTCAGCCTATCTTGACAAGTGCTATAAGAACTGAAGTAACCATCAGAGAGAAGAACTTCAAATATTATTAATTTGTATTCTGTGCATGTGTGTCTATATGTTTATGCATGGCGGGTGTGGGTCTATGTGAAGTCAAGTTTATTTGTACAGCGCTTTTCACGATACAAATCATTGCAAAGCAACTTTACAGCAAATTAAGTTTCTACAATATTTAGTGGTAGCTTATCAGTGGTGACTGTCAATTAATGTACATATGGCAGAAATGTATGGAAAAATCAATTTAAGACGTAATAAAACAGACGATGAACACTATTAACAGCAATTATTATATGATGCAATCAAACTTGTAGCAAAATGTGGTAGTTCTGTATGTTGTTTCAGGGTTGGCATCATCTGAGGTCCTCTGAGGGGTTGGCATCATCTCTTCTCAGGTGTTCTGAATCCAGACTAAAGCTTGCGTAAATTCTAGTTACCACGGGATGCCAATCCCGTTGCAAAAACAGAGAAACAAATAGAGACATAATTAGCGCTGTAGAGGAAGTAACCGTACATCCATCTAGTTGCAAATTGTAATCCAAGAGATTCTGTGTACTGTCTTTTACAAAAAAAACTATGTTTGCAATAGGCTAGAAAAGAAGACAGGTAGCCTACTTCTGTTTGTGTCAATAACAGCATAAGAGCCCTTAGAAATGTGCACAGTGTTTTATTGACATTACCTTCCTTGCAGATCGATAGTGGGTCGTTGGAAATGCCAAAGAAGATGACAGCTAGCTACTGGATGATCTGTCTGTTTCTGCTGGGATCTGTCACAAAGGTGAAAGATTCTTTGCCGCATCATTTTTATAAACATGTATAAGATTTCTAGTTTTAAAATATGGAGTGCTGCAGTGATAACGTATTTTTGTTGGTCAACCCAGAAATTAACACCACCCTGGTTCCATCTACAAAAACCCAATAGGATTTTTTCATTGGCTTTCGGATTATTGCAGTTAATAAGCTCTGTGACCAATAAAAGTTCATAATACTTATGCATTTTGTTCATCGCGATAATCTTCACAAATTAATGTCACCATCACTAAGCTTCTGACAACTCTTTAATTCTTTATTTAAAAAAAAAAAAGTTTTTTCCTGAAGGTTTGAGTTGCAAGAATGTGATTATGAGGCTGTAAAAGCGAACTAGTGAGTAAATGAGTTTACCTGTTTGGAGCAGGGTTATTATAGTTTACTAAAATTAAAAGTGAAAGTAAAATTAAAATTAAAACCATAATATACATTTTAGTTACTTAAAATAAACATTAACTGAAATATTACTTTTTTGCTAGCTGCAAAGGCAACACTTTTTTTTTGTTTAAATATATATATACTAAAATAACTAAAACTAAAATAAAAATGAAAAACTATAAAGACATTAAAAAAAACTAATAATAATGACAAAACACAAAAAAATACTATATACACTGAACTAAATTATAAACACAACACTTTTGTTTTTGCCCCCATTTTTCATGAGCTGAACTCAAAGATCTAAGACTTTTTCTATGTACACAAAAGGCCTATTTCTCTCAAATATTGTTCACAAATCTGTCAAAATGAGGGCAAAAACAAAAGTGTTGCGTTTATAATTTTGTTCAGTGTGTATATGGAAGATATGGGGGTTTCTGCAACTACATGTGTTTTATTTACCAAAGTGACTATATGGAAACTTTTACAATGTTTTTTTTAATCCCTTGTCCCATATACAGTTGTGCACATAAGTTTACATACCCCTTGCAAAAAATGCAAAATGTTCATAATTTTAACAAAATAAGAGGGATCATGAAAATCGCATGTTATTTTTTATTTAGTACTGTCTTGAATAAGCTATTTCACATAACAGATGTTTATATATGCTTCACAAGACAAAATAATAACTGAATTTGTAAAAATGACCCCGTTCAAAAGTTTAAATAGCAAAATAGTTCAAATAGTTGTTCATGAGTCCCTTGTTTGTCCTGAACAGTGAAACTGCCCGCTGTTCTTCTGAAAAATCCTCCAGCTCCTGCACATTCTTTGGTTTTCCAGCATCTTCTGCATATCTGACTGCTTTCCAGCAGTGACTGTATGATTTTGAGATCCATCTTTTCAAACTGAGGACAATTGAGGGACTCATACATAATAATTACAAAAGGTGAAAACATTTACTGATGCTCAAGAAGGCAACACGATGCATTAAGAGCCGGGGGGTGTAAACTTTTTTAATTGGATGATCAGGGTAAATTATCCTTAATGCATCGTGTTGCTTTCTTGAGCATCAGTAAATGTTTTCACCTTTTGTAATTGTTATGTATGAGTCCCTCAATTAAATTAAATTAAATTAATGCATTTAGCAGACGCTTTTATCCAAAGCGACTTACAGTGCACTCAGGCTATACATTTTTTAATCATTATGTGTGTTCCCTGGGAATTGAACCCACAACCTTTGCACTGCTAACACAATGCCCTACCACTTAGCCACAGGAACAATGGTCAAATATGCAGAAGATGCTGGAAAACCAAAGAATGTGCAGGAGCTGGAGGATTTTTCTGAAGAACAGCAGGCAGTTGAACTGGTCAGGACCAACAAGGGACTTATGAACAACTATCACAAGACATAAAAACAGTCGTGTAGCATCCAGGAAATGACACGCAGTATTAAAATTCAAGGGTATGGAAACTTTTGAACAGGGTCATTTTTATAAATTCAGTTATTATTTTGTCTTGTGGAGTATATATAAACATCCGTTATGTGAAATAGCTTATTCAAGACAGTACTAAATAAAAAATAACATACGATTTTCATGATCCCTCTTATTTTGTGAAAATTATGAACATGAGCATCCAGGAAATGACACGCAGTATTAAAATTCAATGGAAACTTTTGAACAGGGTCATTTTTATAAATTCAGTTATTATTTTGTCTTGTGGAGTATATATAAACATCCGTTATGTGAAATAGCTTATTCAAGACAGTACTAAATAAAAAATAACATACGATTTTCATGATCCCTCTTATTTTGTGAAAATTATGAACATTTTGCATATTTTTCAAGGGCTATGTAAACTTATGTGCACAACTGTATATAGTGTCTGTAGTTAAAGAACAACTACATAATGCAGTAATGTCTCATACATCTAAGGAAAGAAGCTTGATTAAGATGATTGCTTGTGAAATTAGCCTGTTCTCAGACATTACTTTTCTAATTTGCCTGTTGTTTGTAGTTCATTGTTTTAGCCAGTCCTGAGGTAAACGAAAGCCAGCAACAACATCCTCAAAATGTGTACCATGACATCGGTGTTACCAGAAACAAGATTGTGACGGCACAGTTCGAGTGCTATCAGAAGATTATGAAGGACAACAGTCAAGACAAAAGAGGTAGACACTTTACATACCTGTATTAGAGTTTTTACAAGACTGAGATCAAGTTGTATTATTATGTGTCCTGACAAAGCTTATATGTGTAATTTCAATGTTAAAACATGTTTAAGCACTGTAGCACAAATGTGTTGTGCAAAATTTATAATATATAACAATAATAATTCAATTTGATTTTCAATAACCCCCTCATACAGTATATATTGCAAACTGTGACAGTAGCAAGAACACACAAAGTCTCAGGTGGCTCATATTCATTCTGTTAGGAAGAGTGCATTTGGCCCCACTGGGTGACAGGACAGCTGTGAAATATTAGCTCTGTTCCAAAACCTAGTAGAACTTAGCATCCTAAACAAGACACGACTGATTTGGAACGCTTTCCATAGGCTGCAGCACACCTATAGGGGACTAGGTTTTGGAACAGACTGATAGAACTTAGAATAGTGGTAATGAAAATAACAGGAAGTTACAGTTTCCAAGTCTCCATAGAAACCAATAAATGTTTTGGGCTTTTTCCCCCGTATCTAGCTGGCCCGGTGTGCAACAGGACCTGGGATGGATGGTTGTGTTGGGACGACACAGAAGCTGGTGTCACCTCTGAGCAGCACTGCCCTGACTATTTCCAGGACTTTGACCCTACAGGTGAATATCAGAGTTCAGTATAAGGTTCTTTTCACCTATATAAGGTTCAATGTAAGTGCTTTCCACTCACCTGCCTAATACGCCATTGTCAGTTTTTCCGCTCTATTACCCCTCACTGTCAACTCATGCTAAATTCATAGGCTAAATGGCTATTAAAACGCTTATAAGACTTATTTTCTGCCCTGAAGTAAGAAATGGTGAATGGATTAGCTTCTTTTCAATATTAAAGACATTTTCATTTTTATTTTAACCACTTAAAAAACATAAACAGAACTAAGCGAACACATCCAGACACTTATAACAATAGAAAAAGATACATGAAGAGAGAAAAAAGGGGTGATTTTTTTACTATTAAAAAAATTTGATTAGTATTAAATTAATTCAAATGAATGAATAACATTTTCCACGTTCAATTTTGTATGAAAGCTATTTACTTTCTAACATTAATCTTAAAAATTGCTTGGAAAAATAGCAATAAAATATTATAATAAATAAATACTTTAGCTACTATTTTGCTCTACATAAAAAACCCCAGCAGAAACAGTGCTTTTTTAACAATTGAACCACTTACAACATTTAAATAACCAAACGACAGGACAAAAATGCATGGAGAAGAAAAAAAAGAGGAGAAAAAAATATATATTCATAAAAAAATGTGTATAAATAAATAAAGCACAACATAAATACAAGACAGGAGTATTATGACATATCATGTCTAAAAATGTTGCTAAGAGAAGCAAATATTATCAAGATATTTGAAGTCTAGACATGGTGAAAAGCTTCAGTCGACAAACAAATGAAGCTGTTCCCTATGTCTCTGGACTCCATATTGATGCTCCTCTTAGTAACACATTTTGGTTTACTTCTGGTTCTTTGCAGAAATGGTCACAAAAATATGTACAGAGAGCGGGCGGTGGTTCTTGCATCCTGAGAGTAACCGCACATGGACAAATTTCACCAGATGTAATCTGCTCACTACTGAAGGACGCAGGGTATGAGCATGAACACTATAAACACTTGAGATGAATATAAACACACATTTTAATTGGCTTGCAGAATTCAACACTTCATGACTCTATTGTTTGTGTGATTGCAGACTGCAATGAATTTGTTCTACTTGGCGTTAATAGGTCATGGGCTCTCTTTAACATCTTTGTTAATCTCACTAGGCATATTCTTTCATTTCAAGTAAGTGCAAATGTCTCTTAAACTACTGTATTCATATTTTAACGGTTTATCACAATTATTTATTGTCATTTTGCTATCTTTTTTGTGCTTATAGGAGTTTGAGCTGCCAGAGAATTACCCTGCACAAAAACCTTTTCTTGTCCTTTGTATTAAACTCCATCATCACTATCATTTGGTTAACAGCAGTGGCAAACAACCAAGAGCTGGTTCAGGAAAACCCAGTAAGTAGTGTGTACTGACAGGAACTTAGTTCACCAAAAAGAGAATAAAGAAATTGTCATTTTAAATCTGTGAATTGAGAATATTTTACAATTCAAACAATTCTGATTGCGAGAAAAAAGTCAGAATTGTGAGAAAGTCGCAAATACTTTAGTTTTTAACCCATTGGCGGAAACCAACTTCCACACAATCCTGTATGCTTTTTTCCCCCTTTGGAAATCAAAATGAGAATTTTGGATAATAATTTTGCCATACAATGCAGACTAACCAGTTATGGAACAAAAGGGTGAATAAATAGACAGTATTTTCATTTTTCTATGATCATTTAAAAGCATTACAGCATGTCACCAATCTGCTGTGCTAGTCATCATTAAATGTCCATGTTGCTTCTGTTCAGATCAGCTGCAAAGTATCCCAGTTTATCCATCTGTACATCTTTGGATGCAACTACTTCTGGATGCTTTGTGAAGGGATTTACTTGCACACACTCATTGTTGTGGCAGTTTTTGCTGAAAAACAGCATTTAATGTGGTACTACCTTCTTGGATGGGGTGAGTTTTCGAATAAATCAAAGCAATTTATTCACAGCATTAATTGCACAAACTAAATCTAACCTCTTTCAATCTCACAGGTTTCCCACTTATACCCGCTACAATACATGCAGTAGCCAGAAGTTATTACTACAATGATAAGTGAGTATACTTGTTCTGTAGCTTTGTTACATTTGTAATTATTATTGCTAATGTAGGAGATCATAGTGAGATTACAGTTTTTGTAATTTGTACTCTTATAAAAATGCAAATAATTTTTCTTAAGATTCTTACCTAAATCCATGTGAAGTAAAGCAATTATTGTACAAAATAACACTCCTGTTTAAGGATCCATATCAAACGTTTGGCTAATCCTTTCTTTCCTAATCCGCAGTTGTTGGATCAGCTCAAGCACTTCTCTGCTATACATTATTCATGGCCCTATCTGTGCAGCACTGCTGGTAAGACATCTGGATGTTTTTGTCATTTTTGTTTCCAAAACACATCTTTTTGTGCAACATTAATTATAATCTTTTTGTATTTATTGTGCAAATTACATCCAGAAGTTTGTATTTGCCCATCTGAATTTGTTTGAGTAGCAGAGCAGAATGTTTATATGTATCAGTACATCAAAAAGAAGACTAGGATGTTTACTATTTTCCTCCTGCATTATTGACACACTATTTTCCTGTTTAACACTGTAAAGCTGCTTTGACACCATCTGTATTGTATAAAGCACTATATAGATGCAGGTGACTTGTCTTGATCCTAAAGCGATTTTAAGTTACCTACATCTCACAGAAACTCTCTTCTGACATCTGCCAGCCAGCTGGGATCTTTTTGTTTTGCGTTTGCCATTCATCTTGCCTGTCCTTCCAGGTGAACTTGTTCTTTCTGCTAAACATCGTACGAGTTCTCATCACCAAACTGAAAGTGACGCATCATGCAGAGTCTAGTCTGTATATGAAAGCTGTCCGCGCCACGCTCATTCTGGTTCCACTGCTGGGCATCCAATACGTTCTCCTCCCATACAAACCTGGGGGACGCGTTTCTGCTGAAATCTACGACTACATTATGCATATCCTAATGCATTATCAGGTAAAAAGCAGACACATTTGTTTATGGTCACTCTCATTCTAGAATCTTACAGATACATTCAGGGCCCAAAATTAACTTTTTGCCACATCTGCCAATGCCTAAAATATAATTTCAATAAATAATTTATACTGCATTATGTATATTGTATATTGCGATTTTTTAAATATACAATACATTCATACATTTGGGGTCAGTATGACTATAGTCTTGAAAAGGGTCTCTTACAAGGGGGCAGTGTGGCCTAATGGTGGGGGGAGTGAATGTACAGCGCTCTCTTCCACCCTCAATACCACGACTGAGGTGAGACCCTTGAGCAAGGCCCCGAACCCCCAACTGCTCCCCGGGTGCTGCAACAAAAATGGCTGCCTACTGCTCTGGATGTGTGTGTGTGTGTGTGTGTGTTCACTACTCACTGCTGTGTGTGTGCACTTGGATGGGTTAAATGCAGAGCACAAATTCTGAGTGTGGGTCACCATACTTGGCCACATGTTATTACAACTGAAAATAACTGCTTTCTATTTAAATATATTATAAAATGTAATTTATTCCTGTGATGGCAAAGCTGAATTTTCAGCATCATTCCTCCAGTCTTCAGTGTCACATGGTCCTTCAGAAATCAGTCTAATATAATAATATGATGCTCAAGAAAACAGTTGTGCTGCTTAATATTTTTGTGAAAACAATGATACAGTTTTTTTAGGATTCTTTGATGAATAGAAAGTTAATAAGAGCAGCAGTTATTTTAAATAGAAACCTTTTGTAAATGTATTTAGTCACTTGATCAATTTAAATTATTGCTGAATAAAGGTATTATTTTCTTTTTCTTTTTTTTATAAAACTATATAGACTAAATTTTAAATAAAGAGAAAAACTAGATAATAAATAACTAATAAATTAATAAACTAAAACAAATAATAATAATAAAGAAAAGTAAATAAATAATTTTAAAACAGCTTCTCACTCAAATTGTTATACAGTATATATTATGAAAAATAAATAAATCAGGGGAAAAAAAACTTTTGGACCTTGCTATACTTGTTGTCACTGGAGTTCTGAAATTGTAGGCATCCTGGATAAACATCTGAGATAAGCAACATTTTCCACTGAAGCAAAAATCTGTAAAACAAAAAGATGTTTTCTTTAGTTGATGGTTTATGTTTCATGTCACTTATATCAGAAAGGGTCAGAATATCATTCTAAAAAAAATTGAAAGCCAATATTATGTTTTAGTTTCTAACTTTAAATACTTGCTGAAGTATAATAAATGACTTGCTGAATATCATTTCCACTGTTTACTCTGTATGTTTACTCTGTATTTTCCGCTTGTGGAGTGCTTGATTTTGAGCATAGGTACATTTATTATTACTAGAAGATATGATTTCCCAATTTCTTTGTCTTTTTGACTGGCAGAAGCTCAACAGCCTATAATTAAGTTTACTTTGTCATTAGTGACTTAAAAAGCTTGTAAACCAAATGACAACATCTTTCAGCTCTGTAGATATTAGCCAGAGGAGAAAACTTGTCACTTTAGAAATCCTGCTATTAATTACTCACCCTCATATTGTTCCAAAATGCTATGCCGTTATTTATTTATTTATTTTTCTGTGGTAAACAAAAGAAGAGTTTTCACTTAGGTATTTTCCAGTGTAAGTCATTATTCACAGATATTCTTGATCTCAATTGAGTTATACTGAAAAAACAGCTGGAAATAACACAAGGCAGAAAGTTTTTTTGAGGTGAACTATTTATTTACAGAAGCCATTGTTAGGATCAGGTCACTTGCCTCCTAAAAGTCTGACTCTTGAACATTTATTTTGAGATGGGTAGGTGTTCAGCAGCAAGAAAATAATCATCTGTAGTCTGGTGTGAAGAAAACAGCAAAGTGAGAAGCCTTGGACAGCTGGTACTGCTAGACCTAGCTGAATCGGCACAATGAATAATGCAACAAAACAGGCGTGTCATCCCAGATGACTCTCTGTGCACATCAAGAGCACTCGCTCTGCCAAAATGTGTCAAAACACAAGGGAGAACAGTACTCATCGCCATCTGAGAAACGATTAGTGAAGAGGTTGTGATATAGGAGATTATAGTTTAGCAGTGCAAGATAGCAGTTCATGCTGATTTACTGCTGATGCGCATTTCTGATTTTATTTTTAAGGGACTGTTGGTGGCTACAATCTTCTGCTTTTTCAACGGAGAGGTAAGTGTTAACCCAGCTAAAATGAAAAATGCCCTGTTTATCTGCAAGGAATTATGGATTGTGCAACATCCTTTTCCTTGAAAGCAAAAACATTGACAGATGTCCACATCTACCTATACAAGATGCCTGACTCAGAGAGAACCTGTCCAAATCATTTTGTTTTTGCATTGAGCTGTTTTAGAGGCACTGTGGTAATGAGGCATGCAGAAGCTTTTATGGATAATATTACTAGATACAGCAGTTAATACAGCCTATATGCTTAAATGGATAGGTGGTCGGCATGATGATTTATCTGTCAGCTGTTAGAGAGTTTGCTGTTTGCTTTCAAAATGTACAATGAAAATCTATATCAAATATATAAGAAGGTACATGTGACTATCAGTTCCCCTTCTAGGGAACTCCACACTGTGCCCCCTAGGGGGCACTATGGGGAATGCAGTCTGCATGACCGGTGTCTGAAGCACGTGTGAAACCATGCCAATCTATTGGCCTACCTGGCCCATGACGTCATAGGCGGGATTCCCGGAAGTATAAAAGGGCACCTGCCAAATACGTCATCCTCTTTGCTGTCTTCAGGAGCCGTCTGTTTAGAGTACAGTGTGTTACCATGTCTGATAACCCAGGTGAGCATTTCAAGAAGTGCGTGCCTCCATGTACTAGGTTTTTGACACCCGAGGACACGCATGACTTGTGCGTTATGTGCCTGGCAGAGGAGCACGCACGTTCGGTGCTTGAGGGCGCCGAATGTAAGCATTGTGAGTCATTTCCAATGCGTAAGCTCTGGTCAGGTCCCGCTGCTGCTCTGGCACGGCGGAAACTCAGCTCGTGGGGATCGCAGGTTGAGCTCATGGAGAAGTTTGAGAAGGGGATGGATCTTTCAAAGACTCCTACCACGGGCTCTAGCGCGCTGCGGGATCCAGACACTCTGTCATTGGAGTCATCTGATCCTGTTAGTGCGCTGCTGGGCTCTTCTAGTCATAGTGACGGTAATTAAGAGGTTGATGTGGTTGGTGACGATGATGAGAGTGTGAGCACCGAGTCGTCATCAGCCATTCCCAGCCATGCATACGGGGATATGCTGGATGTGATGGGTCGGGCCTCTAAGCGGCTCGATCTAGCGTGGATGCGCTTGCAGCCGACTAGATGAGCGTTTTTTGGTGGGTCTTGATCGTCCAGCCCCCGGGAGTCTTCCATTTCTCCCAGATCTCCACTCGGAGATATCTAAATCCTGGTGGAAACCATATTCCTTTCGGCTGCATGTCTGTGGTCTGGGCAGCTCTGTAGGAAGGCTGTATAAGATCTGACGCGGATTGAGGACCTCCTTGGTATAGCCATCTGAGGGTGGTTATATTCCAGCCATTGGTATGGCGGGAGGGGCTTACCTAAATACAGCTATCTGAGGCTAGCTGTGCCCCACTATGGCTATGCGCCTATGGAGTAGCCCTTTTTTCCTAGAGCCTATCTATTTTAAGGTGCTTTCACACCTGTAGATCAATTGCTTTTTTCCGAAACAGGGATTAAAATTATTACAATGTTGCTTTTTATTCTTGGTGTAGTTTGCTTTCACACAGCAAATTTTCTAAACGGACCAAATTTGTTAATACAAGTCAAGCGCAAGTAAACTGTTCTCTCATTGGTCAAAGTTCCACGGTTTATTTTCCAGGATTGCTCTAGCGGTCACGGCTGTCATCCGTCAGGATGGAACGACAACAGCTTTGCGGGCTTATTGTTGGTTTTTTTTGTAGCTGTCATTATATTAATTTATCATTTTGAGCAGGAGTCCAGGATTCATCGGGAAAACATTTTTAAAATGCACCTACTAGGAAGAAGAGCAATAATACGGCATTATAAAATGAAAAAGTGTGCTTTGATTTTGAATGGCGAAGACGTGCTCACCCACAGACAACAGGTTCATTTTGAAGTATTAGCAAAACAACAAAGTTAATTATTTTCATGGAACTTACGTAATTACCCATTATACATTGTGATATAGCCTAGTTCATTGGTCCGTTGGATCGGATCGCTTTCTCACTACAACCGAACCGCTCCAGAGTTAGTTTTCAATCAAGCCGAGACCACCTCGTTCAGGCGATCTTGGACCGATTGTTTTGGCGCGGATCCGAGTGCGATTGCCGTGTTCACATATGCCCAAACGAACCGAGCTAAGGGTGGAAATGCGCCAGGTTCCGAAACAATGGGCCAGGTGTGAAAGCACCCTTAGTTTCAGTCCGGTAGCCCTTCCTGAGGATATCTGAGGATATCTATGTGCTAGCTCAGTGACTGCTCCCCTCTTAGGGTCTTTAAGTAGCGGCCTCTTTGAGCCCTTGACTGGACAGTGATTTCTCCCCTGTTTGGGTAGTAAGTAGATGGCCCACTCTCTGTGGTCTAGGCAGCTCTGTAGGGAGGCTATCTTATGTCATGTCATTCTGGTCCACAAGCCTTCATAAGACCTTAGGGGCATTGCTATCCGAGGATAGCCAAGTTCTAGCTCAGCAGTTACTTCCCTTTGGGATCTCTGAGTTTTTTTGGAGGTTTTCTGTTATCCTCTTCAGTGGTCTTATGTGTCCAGGCTAGTTCTGCTCATATAGCATAGCCATCTGTGATAGCTGTGCTCTTAACTTGGGTGGGATGTTTCCTTTATTCGGATTCCCCGTTTCTGCCAAGTTGAGTGAGCAGCCCGTTGCCCCTTTCTTAGGAAAGGCTTGGTGTATGTATGTCACCTCTTTGGTGCTCCTCCACCAGGTGGACAGGCATACGTCTCAGCACGGCTTGGTTGGATTGCGTACCCCATAGTGCCCCCTAGGGGGCGCAGCGTTGAGTTCCCTATGTAACCATGGTTCCCCGATAGGGAACGAGATGCTGCGTCCACTTGCCATGCCTTCAGTCTGCCTGTCGACGTCTCCTTCAGACGGCTAAGTGGATGACGCATTCGTCAGGTGCTCTTTTATACTTCCGGTAATCCCGCCTATGACGTCATGGGCCAGGTGGGCCAATAGATTGGCATGGTTTCACACATGCTTCAGACACCAGTCATGCAGACTGCATTCCTCATAGTGCCCCATAGGGGGCGCAGTGTCTCGTTCCCTCTCAGGGAACCATGCAGAGCAGTGCATTTTGTAACCAGAGACATTTTATAATATATGTTTTGAGTTTTGTTGCAGTACTGTTTTAGCACTGATAGCAGACTTAATTTGTTATTAATAAACTCTCAAACTATCGCTTGGTTTGTGTTCCAGAGAAAATAATCAAATTAGATGATGTACATTTGTATAGTAATTATTTAAATTACAATATGCAAAAATATATATTACCATATGGTTAAGCAACATCCCGTGTTATTTTACTATCACTGAGACACTATTATAGCAATTATTTTGTTGTTTTTGTCATTTTTTTAGTATTTGTTTTTTATTGTCTGTATAGTTTTTCTTCATTTTATTTCAGTGTCCGTTTGAGTTATTTTAGTACCATTTTAGTATCAAGTTAAACTAAATGAGAAATGTTACCTTGGCAATTTTTTATGTAGTTTATTTCAGTTCAAATTTATTTAAATTTTGAGTTTTTCATGGTTTTAGTTTTATATAACTACAAATATTATATTTTGTCGTTTGCTAAATTTAATTATTAATATAAAAAAAAAACTTCAAACAATGATTAAATGAATCGTATGATTTTGGTCACTACACCCTCCCCGAAATGTTACTATTTTATGTTTTTTATGCACTAGTTTGTTATTTTGTAAAACTAAAATGAAAAGTGAACTGTTAAAGGCTCAGCCAAGAAGGTAATGGATTATTTATGCTGCATTACTAGTGATTTCTGTTGACTGAGCAGATCATCTGTCCATAACTTCCTCAGGTCCAAGCGGTTTTGAGAAGGCACTGGAATCAGTACCGCATACAGTTTGGAAGCACCATCATACAGTCTGATGCTCTGAGGTCTGCATCATACACTGCATCCTCCATTACGGAGGTCCAGGGCTGTTACAGCATCGACGGCCACACAGAACACTTGAATGGCACAAACTGCCATGACACTGACAACAGCACCTTAAAACCAGAGAATCCCTTTGCCTGATGCCACTGAATGTGGCAGTATGCCGCTTTAAAAAATAAATAAATAAACTGTTGGATATAGCGACAGCTGTCACATTGCTGACTTGGACCTTTTTACCCATAATTCACTGCTCTATCTCTCTGAAGGGTGGAGAAAAGGCATTTCTCCTAGAATTTACACTGAAAAACATTTTGCTACCTTCATTTAATGTTAAGTGGATATAAGCATTACTGGCCTGGTCTTTGTACTTTACAGTATTTCAGTTTGCGCAACTGCTGTGCGCAGTGGAATTAAGTGTAAATATTCCGTTCTTTTGTCAGATTTCATGTGTAATGCACTTCTTTGTCTTATATTTGTCCCGGTGATGATAAAAATGAATTATAAATCTAATCCAAATGATGACCACACTAATAGGAAAAAAAAAACGGTATGTATGTTGAAACAAAAAAATTAAGAGTGCCCAAAAGCCAGTGCCACTTTTTCTTTTATAATAATGACTTGGGGTAAATCTTCTATTTTCCTGTGCAGACCGTATTATAAACAATTATTGTTCATCTGGACAATAACTATATTGAAACTTTGAAGATTTAGTATTATTAGTATGCTCTATTTTAGTCGCTAATTTATTTGAAGGAGTCATCGTAAATCACAGCACTTCACATCCGTTATTTGACACAAATCTCAGATAGTGTGAGTATTCTGTATAATAATTAATAAACACTTGTTTTAGGGACCCCTAAAAATGACACTGGAGATTGAACCAGAATTTATGTAACATTTCTAGGTTTAGTAAGAACTCAGTGTGGAGCATTACAGTACAAAAGCATGCTTACCACTTTATTTAAAATATATTTCTCAACTTATATGCTTATTTTTTCACAATTAAATTTATACTACACATGCCACATTTTCAGTGTTTTTTGACTTCATATTTCTTAACATGCTTGTAGTGCTCAGTCATGTATGTTTCTTTTAATACGTTGCTTTTGTGAAATAAGGTACAATAATCCGCCACCTAGAGTGTTACTCAGGAACTTTTCCTATAACATGCTTGGAGAGTTTGAGGTCTCGCTCTCTTGTGTCAAAGGCAGGGATTCCTTTCACCCACTCTACCTAAATTCAATTACATTCCATATGATTTGAATAATGTACCCACTGTTAATTTCCTTTGATGTCACAGCGTTACCTAAACTCGCTCCATTTTAGACTTCTGACAATCAACAATCCGACAACCAGTTTTCATAATGCTTAAAGGAATAGTTCACCCAAAAATTGCCGTTATTTACTTACCTTCATGTACTTCCAAATCCGTATGTGGACAAAAGTAGAATTTCTGATTAATCTGACTCCCCTCTTTCCAAGGATAGCTTGTAGTGGCCACCTCTGTCAAAAAAAAAGTAATATAAATATTACAGCTTCTGACTCATACACTATATTCTAAGCTTTCAGAAGTCATACAATATTTAAAATTTAATCTGTTCATTTTACATGACAGACTGAAATGTAAGTCAGTATTCGCTGTGAGTTTTATATAAATTGTATATTTTATCAATTATTCTTTTGGATCGGTTCTGTTCAGTGAGCCAATTTATGTAGTTCGCACATATGTGAAAACAAGCGTGCATATTATTTTTGGGTGAACTAATTTAATTCCTGCTTTTGTCCATATGCATATTTAAACTGTGAACAGAATTGTTGACAACGTTACAAATGTGGGAATGTGCTAGTACTAATTATGTAAATATTATATTCTTAGCTGTAATCATATTTGAATATTTTATGGGGGTGTGCATAATATCGCTTTGTACTGCAGACATGATTTGTGTGCATTTCTTCCACCCTAAACAGGAACGTAACTCATTCTGGGTTCAGAACAAATCAGTATTAATATTGCAAATCACAGCACTTCACAGCATGTAAACAAATGCCAATCAAACATCCACTGTATCATTTCATCAGGTTTTCATCATCAGACTCAACACAATATTCTTTACCTTGAATGTCATTTATTTTTCATGAATGTGTGCCAATTACTGTTGCTCATAATGCTTCTTCATTTTTTTGTTGTGTTGTTTGTGATCATTTGTGTTTCAGTGAAAACAAAACACTCACTGCAGGACGGTTTCATATGTTTCATACACATATTTGCTTGTCGTTTTTTGACCTGGTATTTAAGGTTGTACTTTGTGTGAAAGTAAATTTTGCTTTCCAAGTTGTATTGTGTATATGCTGCACCTAAATTCAACCACTTCAAATGTTCTTTTCTGTATGAATGTAATTTGTCTTTTGTTCTCTTGAGGTGTATTTATGTAACATTTATTTCATAAAATGTGGGCAGTGTTGCAATCATGTTTATCGTATTATTTTGTAAGTATAGATGATTATATCAAGTGTCTAATATTGTGTGTTTCATTCAAAGCACTGGGGTGGGGATGAGATGTTGGTCAAAACATAAAAGCACATCAAAGTTTCCACTCTTCACAATGAAGAGGATTGAAGCCAATTTACTTCAATTCCAAGGGCAATCTAATGACGTCCATTCACAAAGACATGTTCGGCATCAAACATGTCCTTCAACTGCCTTCAATCGAATGCATTTTTAATGAGCTGGCTTAAGAACACGTACACACAATACTTTAGGAACCAGAAGGACTTTCCTCTCTAAAAGCTAAAGCTATATAGTTATATAGCCAAGTTACTGAAAAATGAAAATTTGCTCAAATTGTACTCAACCTCAGGCCATCCAAGAAATAGTCGGTTTGTTTCTTTATTGGAAGAGATTTGGGAGAAATTTAGCATTACATCACTTGCTCAACAAGAGATTCTCTGCAGTGAATGGGTGCCGTCAGAATGAGGGTCCAAACAGCTGATAAAAAAACATTACAATAATCCACAATTTATCCACAGTCCATCAGTTAGCATATTGGGAAGGGAAAAGTTTGTTCACTTCTGGTCAAAGTACCAGTCTGTAATACAAAAACGCTTCCTCCAGTGAAAAAGTCCATCCCCTGTTGTCCTCTCACATCAAAATCCACCGATATATTTGTCTAGAACTGTTTTGAACTGTTTTTACCTGTAAATTGTGCTTGATGTGTGAATATTTCTCTCCTGATTCAGACTCGATTACTTTTTCTCTGCAGAAAGCAATATTATGGATAGAGGACTCTTATTACTGTATTAGCCAGAAGCAATGGTTTCAAGTTTTAAAAGTCTTGATGGATTTATTAGCTCCAGTTCTCTTGGGAGACTTTGCATATCACACTCACTGACTGCAAATGATGTTGTTTCAGTATATGGGGATAGTTTCATTAAATGCAATGTCTTTCAGTAGCTTAACCGCAGAAAGAAAAAAAAACATAATACTATACAGTATGTATTGTTCAAAGGCTACCTAAATACAATAAATAGTATTAGGAACTTCATATTTCACTACAAAATCATAAGGGGAAAAAAAGCAGAATAGATATTACTTACCCAAAATACAGTAAAAGCAATTCAGGAATATTTATTTTAGATTGTGAATGATCAAATTCATCACAATTAAGTATACCTACACACAGATTCTCATTCTCAATGAAAAACAACAACAGAAAAAAGCCTTAGTTATGTAAAGCAAAAAAGTATTTGGAAATCATGGTGGCATTGAGCTTCTTTCAAGGGAATAAGGGACTGTGGTGCTTTTGATGTGATAATGTAGTTATATCACTTGTTCAACTTTGAAAAACACTCTGTTTTCAAGCAGGGCTAGTTTGGGACATCCAGACTCAGTTACAAAAAAAATCAAAATAAATAGGGCAATACAAAAGAAATGGAGAAAACAACAACAACAACAACAAAAATATATAATTGCTATTAATAAAAATAAATAATTACCACATTGTTGTGGTGTCTTACAATATATATATATATATATATATATATATATATATATATACACACACACACACACACACACCCCAACATATAAATATATAAATAATATATATAATATATACATGTTTTGGAATGTATTTGCACTTCATTGTAACGTTTAGTACACCCAGACTCGGTTTATTTAAAAAATTGGCAATCCTGTAAGGGTTTATCCGACGTCTCATGCTTGATGATTTCTGAATCCTTAAAGTCGTTTGAGCAACTTGGAGTAAAGTATAACATTTCTTCCACAGATTTTTTCAATACCTTTAAATTCGGCATTTCACAGAGTCTCTTTTACAGCAGGACAAACTTTATTTAAAAATTGATCAGAACTGGAAGAAGTTATGATTTCTGACAATTCTCTTAAAGAGATTAATTTGAAGTTTTATGCTCTATTGCTCTACTCTGACGTCTCAGCTTATAATACTCTGAAACTGTTAGGGGAATGGGATCTGGGGGTATCATTTAGGCCGGCAGATTGGACAAAGATCTGTAATGGGATTTTTCCAAAGTGTACCTCAATTTCTTTACATAAATAAAATAAAAATAAAATTCATAGGATCTATTTTACACTTTTTCGACTTCATAGGATGTTTCCTAGTTGCTCAAATCTTTGTTTTAAATATAAGACATTCAAGGGCACACTTTTTCATTTATTTTGGTCCTGTGATCGCAATCAGTCATTCTGTGATACAGGAGATAACTGGTAAAAAAAATCATACTGTTCCCTTCATTTTATTTGCTGAACCACTCATGGAATCATTTTTGATGCAGACACTAAATCTTTATTAAAAATCCTTTTATTTTTGGCAAAAATTATAAAAATGAAAATAAAGTATTTTATTGAGGTGGTCTACACCCCAGATTCCCATGGTCATCATATGGATATCCCAGGTGTCAGTTTTCTTTCCTTTGGAGAAACATATGATCCAAATCATAAATCAGACAAATTCTGGAGACTTTGTAAACCTCTTCATTCTTTACAGGAACTCTATTTGCTTGTTTCAGGAGGACTATATGCCGTTCTCCCTCTCTTTCCTTTTCCTGTTTCAATTATAAAATATATACTATAACATTTATTATTAATATATGTACATGCATATATTTATTAAATTATTACTACTCCTATTATCATTTGTTTATTTTTAAATGCATTTAGTCCTGATGCCCTCTACATAAGTTTAAAAAATTAATAAAATAAAAGTATTTCCTGTACAAGTCAACCATTTTCAAAAACCAAGAAGATGAAGTTATGGCAAACCCTTGAAGAAATTCAGAAAAAAAAGCCAGATGTCCCCTACAGAGGAAAAAAAAAAGTGAAGGGCTCCCAGAAGGATATGTGATTTCAATTCGTTTTTATCCTTGCAATGCCTGTCGGGTGATCTGCTCAGTTTGAGCAATTTTCACATGGTACAACAAGGGAGCTTTAATCAGGGAACGTATTAGTGAGATTACGCAGAGGTTCCCATAAATGTTTGGAAAGCAAGACTACAGATCCATAAAAAATGCACACTAAACGCAGCACGAATACAAGACTGACAGTCTGGAGTGTCCCATTTTCTGAACCGCCACAAATGATCCTATTTGTCCAGATGAACGAATGTAATAAAAGAGGTGCTGCGCAGTCATTTCACAGTTGACGTCAAGAGATGTGAAAATGTGTCACACATGGACAGTATAACATATTAAACCTCAGCTATTTACAAAGTGACTGAAACTGGGTCCCACAGCAACCGAGTTTGTGGTGTTATTGATCCTCAACTGATCCCCCCGTGTTTTTGACCCCAGTTTATTCCGAAAGTAATAAACAAGGAGTTCATGCTGTTGTCAGATGTTTGACCTATGCATTCTGAGAAATCGTGCCTCTTCCCAGGAGAGTCCATAGTGGATGCAACAAGGACAGGTGCTGTTATTTGAGAGCCAGGGAAGTATAGGTCACAGCTGTGAGGGAAAGAGCCCAGTGAGCATGCAATGCTTCTGGGAACATCCTGTCGTAGTTGTCTGGGCGCAGCGAGCACTCAGACAGCCAGAATGTTAGCTATATTACAGATCCATTGCATCACAAATCCAGGTTCAACCGAAAACAACTGAATTTGGTCAAAACTAAAAAAAAACGACTTGTGCCATGCTAATATTTTTGATAATTATAAAAAACAGAATAAATTAATAATATAAATACAGATAATTAAATTTAGAATAAATGAATCAACTCAGAATAAACAATAAAAATAAATAAGTTAGAATACATTTAGAAAAATTTAAGACAAACAAACATTGTTTTTTGAATAAATAAATGTAGAATAGATAAATGTAGGATAAAAATACATTTAGGATTAATAATTTAATAATAAATAATTTAATAATAAATAAATGTAAAACATTTTTTTTAGGATTAATAAACTGCAAAATAAATAAATAGTTAGTAACGCAGAAATGGGGTAATTCAGCTGTCAGATTTACATGGAAAGTTGTTCCATCACTGGTGCCAACATGCTTCAGTCAGCAAGCCTGGTGATGATTGCTGGGGTTAGACCCCGCATGATGACAGGTGTATCGTATCTGCCACTCTCTAACGGGAAGTGAAAATCCCTGGATAAAGCCAGGACATGTAACCAGAGTTTCTCTTATATGTGTGATTCAGTGTATAGCTGCTGAAGCCTTTGTGCAAGATTTGCATTATAATGTCCTCATGCATTTAAAAGGCTGGTGGGAATCAGACACAGGAAGAGCAGTCTTCTGTAAGGTCCTTGAGAGTAGCCTGAGCTACATTAATTGTGTCCTAACAGACTCTAAAATAAACCTGTCAACCGCCCACTGAGAGGAACTCATGCTAATGATTCCTGCAAAGTAAATCCATTAAAATGAACATTACTAGCATAGACAGTCTATTCAAAAATCAAATATTTAGGACTGACTGCACACACTGCCATTTTGCAGATGATGAAATCAAATCCACTTCTTCAGATAGTGTGGTCAATATCCTATATATAAACACCGGTTGCCATAGTAATTATATAAGTGACAGCAAGAGACATGAGAGAAGCTGTCATTGTGGAAAAGGATTGAAAACTGAAATGTTTTCTCTTCTCATGCCCATCATGACAGCGTTGAGCTAAGCAGCATAACATAAGCAGCAAAAGCATTACTGTACAATTTACACATTTATATATATGCTATGTTGATCACTATGTGATCGACATATGCAAGAGAAAATGAGACAATGCAGACACTACTGCGCAATGCATATGACACTATGTCACATCCCAAAATAAGAGAGAGAAAAAAATCCTACTCAGACTGACATTGGAAGGAATGAAACTAATCGATTCTCTATAATGAATCAAAGAAATGGTAAAATCACAAAAACCTAATCAAAGATTCATTTGAATTATTCAAAAGTGTCTCTAGTAGCCTCAGCTTGGCATTTTATGTTTTACATTTTTTGTGTAAATAAATAAATGTGTATAAATAAATAAAGCATATATACATACACACACATATCACATACATAAATATACAGTGGGTATAGAAAAGAATAAAATAAATGTATACCCACCGTGTGTGTGTGTGGGTGTGTGTGTATGCCTATATATAAAATAAATAGAATAATTTAGAATACGTAAATGCATTTAGAATAAATAAATAATTATTTATACAAAATATAAATAAAAAAATAAAAAAATAAAATGATAAATTTATAATTTTTATATTATTCATTACAGCGAGGTGGTCTTTCTGCTGGACCTTAGGCCTGTCGCACCTCCTATGGTGCCTATGGTGGACTATGCATGGCAGGGGTGTCCTCTTCCCTGAGGCAGGCCTAAACCTGACCGCATACCACGTGGTTTTCTGCAGGGTCTTCAGCTGGGGACCACCGCTCATTGACGTTTCGCCCCTTAACCCAGAACGTCTCCTGGTGGCGGGGCAGTGAACAGGGACGTCTCCCTGACACCCCCTGCAGCAAAACCTAATTCGATGTTACTCCCCAAGCCTTGTCTCGTCGTTTCAGAACATAAAAAAATATGAAGCAGATGAACACAAACAAAACAAATAGACAAAGATTAGTAAACTCTTAAAATAATCTAAAAACAATAGTAATAAAATCCTCTTAGACCTCCTAGATCTCAACCACTGTGCATAGTGGCATGACTATAGTAACTTTCTCCGTTGTTTTGCTTAAACGTACAGTAGATGTGTTCAACACACATCTTCCAGCAATGCGCTCAACAGGGAGAAATGCTGCTGGGCATGAGATGTCTGTTCCCTGCAAACTCCAAATTTCTACTGGCTTTCCATAAAAATGTCTGTCAGGATGGGGATGAAGCCAGGAGACTTGTGCAATGATGTGTTTAAATTCATTACCTTTTGACATCACATTTACAACAAAAAAAATCTTGATAATAGCCGGCCGTGGTTCTGCTCTAGGGTCAAGGGTGGGTTCCTCAAAACTGTTAGTGTTTCCACACCACTTAGCATATACACATGCTGACCTTTCGGCTCTCGATCCATCTATGGAATAAGTTACATTAAGATATGTTACCCTTTTGCATGTCTTGGCAAAACAGTCAATCTCAGTTATGCAATTGTCAGGGTACATCTGGTGATACATGATTAACATTGCATTTCTGTCAGTCTCATCCAAGATTGTCTGCTGGAATGGTGACAGAGGCAGCACTGTACAGTTTTCTAACAAAAGTCGTTCTGCTGACACAAAAACATTGTGAAACACAAGAAATGACTCTGGAGCAGAGAATGATACAAGCCTGCACAAAGTCAAACCACATGTCATAGTGTCTGCTGTTAATAAGCCCCTTCAGACAAAACAGGGAGTAAATGGTTGTCCAGTTTTTCCACTGATCTGCTGTAAATCCTGTAAAGCCTGATGGAATTCGTAAGGGAATTCTACCAACATCATGAGGTACTTTGATGTTTTCCACTCTAGTTTGAAGTTCTTCAAGCTTTTTTGCTGTTAAAATTCCTAATTCTGTCCATAGTCGGAATACATGTCTTGCTGTACCAAGAAGAAGGTTGTGCATTGGATCTATGACAACAAATCGGATGGGATCATAATAACTCAAGCGGAAAAGTTCTGACCATCTAGCTCCGTAGTCATGTTCAATTCTTCTTTGTTCTGCCTTTGTTTTTGCCCGCTTCGATAATCCAGCATAGTGTATGTGGTCCTTTGATATGCGTGATTCCCATGAAGACCGATCAAATCCAGAGAAGTCCATTTTTGCACCAAACTCTTTTTTGGAGAATGTCTTCAAACACTTGTGACATCCTGCAAGTTAAATGCAAAATGTCACACACATATTGAAACTTGAGCATTCAAAGATAAGTACAAACTACAATATTTGAAACAATCATCAATTTAAACAGTTTTTATACTGAGAAGCATATTTCATTTACCTCTGTATGCTCCATGGCCCACAAAGCCTCCACATTTTCGACTTGCTGGGATATCAGATGCCAGACACAGCAGAGCTGCTCTGTAAACCTGATATCCTAAAAAAGAGCTATCTTCCAAAATTATGCCACTCCAGAGTTCTTCGAGCTCATCAACCAGTGGGTCTAAGAATGCATTCATGGTTAGTGATGGCTCTTTTGGGCCAGGTATTAGTCCAACAAGTATCATATTTTCTTCCTTAAAACGGTCTTCACAAGGTAGATTCAAAATGACCAAGTAGATGGCTCCAACTGAATAAGGTGCATTTTTGAAAGGTTGGAACCAGTCCACATTGAGCATCATTGCCAGATTATTTGGGGCTGATAAGAATGGCTCTCCATTCACATAATGGTAATCCTTCCATACTTGTCCATCATAAACATCTCCGAACACACACTCTGGCATTTTTCGCAGTCGCCATTCTTCACACTTTTGCAGAAATCCAGGTCTTTTAACAAGAACTTCCAAAGACTGCCTAACGCTGCTGTAACAGTAGGGCCGTATTGGATATACAAACTCTTTCCCAGTGGAAGATTTTAGCTTTCTTAGCAAGGCAGAACCACATTTCTTCTTTTGAGCAGATCTTTTCTGTGGGTGTTTGGAGAATGGGATGTAACTACAAGACTTACATACCTTTGTACCATCCTGTTTGACCTCATAGGTTTCAGATAGCGTGTATATTACCATACATTTTGGACAAACCACATATTGTGCAAAATTATCACGAACAATACCTGTCCATTTCCTCAAAGAGGATAAAGTCTTCGGAATATTGCTTGCGAAAGCAGTGAGGAAATCAGCACACAGAACATTTCCTACCGTCCACATGAACTGCCTCATGCACAGAAGTAGTGTTGTGATGGCATTGTCAGAAATCTTGAAAGATGCTTGCCATGACAAAATCATCATGGCCAAAAGTTTCATCAGTAAGTCTTCTGGTTTTTCTGAAGACTGATCACTTCCATGCTTCTCTCCATCTTGCATGTTTAGATAGGCTTCAATCTGCTCCTCCGCAAGAATTTCCACTTCTTCACCCCCGTCAGCCACAAACTCATCCTATGCAAATATAAAACGCACATTTACTAGACCATAATCTCTACTGAGAGAAAACAAAAAAAATCTCTTAAAAATCCCCTTTGTCTGTATAAACATTTTAAAAATTTCATCCAGGAGCATTTTTAATACTATTCTTTTGTTGGTGCTTACCAGAAAGGTATTGGTTTCTTCATCTGAATCACTGGACTCAAGGAACAGCTGAATACTTTCGTCATCATCATCTATAAAACATTTAACAATACAATATATTAGGGTAACAAAAAACTAACCTAAAATACACATTAATAATAAACTGGCGTATAAATTATGCTGCTTACCATTATGTGAACTGTTGCATTCTTGAAGTTCTTCTAAAACATCTTCAAGGGCTTCGAATGAGTTTGCAAACATCTCACCGATAAGATGATGATTGGATGACAGGTCAGGTGCATCATCTATTGTACATTGGCTATTTTTGGACTTCTTTTCCCAAACTCCATTTTTGCAGTACCGTTTTTTTATGGTCAAAGTATTGTGCATGTGAAAGTTTGTTGTCACAGTGTTCACAATAACGGCGCTGTCTTTTTCGTTTTGGTTTGGAGAGCTCCATTTTCATAGATGACAAACTATTTCAAAACCTTTCTGTGTTTAAATGCTTCTCTCTTGAGTTCTTCGTTGATTCGTCACCTCGCATGTGACGAACCTCGACCAATCAAGTGCTAGGTAACGGTGACGCGGAAGGTTCGTCCTATCACATACGAGATAAGACTTGCATGTGACGAGCCTTGACCAATCAAGGGCTATGTCATGGTGACGCTGCATGATTTGTTAGTCCTATCACTTACGAGGTTTTGAGCACGACGGAAGATCGCGCGAAACGAGAACATATAAACACAAAAAAGTTACTATTCTGAAGTTGTCTTACGATTTTCATTCATTGCTCCATACAATGGCTGGACGTCGCCTCGCTTTCAGTACCCCCGAGACTCCGCAGGGACGAAACACTTCAAGTCCCACAACGGATAACAGGATCTTGCTGGCAGCTATCAGTGGGCTTTCGTGTCAGTTAAGTGAGTTCTCTGCCGATGTCTCCCGGGAGTTCAGATCTATCAACGATAGATTGCAGTCTTTGGAAGAAAGACCAACTCCTAGTGAGTCTAACAGCTGCTCGATGGAGGCGTTCAAAAGGAAGAGGCGTCTGCATAATCCCAAAATTGCGGTAAGAATTAATTCCCCAAATGAAATCACCTAAAGTGACACTAGTTTGCTCACAGAGTAATTTTTTTCTTGCATTTTGTAGGAGGCAGTCCGTCGGCTACATAACTCAGAAGCAAACTGTAGACGCTATGACCCGGAGCAAGGGTAAGGCTGAAAAATACAGGCTAGCATGCATTCATTTGTGCAAAAGCAAATAAACATATTTTAATTTAGTTCATTTTGTTTCCACAGTTTGAACTCCCCATATAATGAGATGGTCACCTCATTTTTAGTTGGAACCCTGGCTGCAAGCCCACAATTGACTGATGAAGGTCTAGATAAGAGTGCCTTTGTTGGTAAGTAATTTTTAAAAATGTTTCCCCTCAATTATGATTATTTCTGAAGTTATTTTTGGTGTTGTTTTTAACATCTCTTTAATTGTTTATAGTGGCCTGCAAGACATATTATGAAACTCTGCGCAGAAATTTCCGGTACAGCCAACCAGAGCTAGTCAGTGTGGCTGCATCTACTAAGACCTTAGCCCGGAGTCGCCAGAGGAGGAAGAGGGTAAGACGGGATTAGAATCATTAGTTTCTGTTGTATTTTTTCTGTTGCATACACTGTTATGATGTGGTACATAGTACTGATTATATGTAGCAATTGTGTTTACAGCTGTTGGAGGCTAGGCAGAGTGTACTGGCTGCGGACGAGGTGGACTTCTGGAGGGGCATCACTGCTGACATGATGTCTGATGAAGAAGATGGTACTATTGATGGAGTGTCGGGGTGGATTGTGAGAACTCCATCGTTCCGCAGCCAGGAGCTCAGCATTCTGTGTTCCACACTGCAAGCAAGACTGGAAGCTAGAACAAAGTATGCAGCACTGCATCACCAGCGTCTGCGGGGTGGATTACCTTCTGGTAGATTGCCACCGCAAATTTATGACTCAGAGGCGGCAAAAAAGCACCTGAAGCCAAGCCACGTATGATGCCCTATCCAAGACTGTAGCCTCTGGCTAACTGACAAACTTGCTTGAGCCAGGAGAAGAGACACCAGCGGGAGAGCACCCCAGGGCTCCAGGCGGCATTAACGATTGTTCTCCTTATTTCACAGACTCTGAGGGCACCCAGGAAGAAGGATCTGCACCACGGCACTTCACCCCACGAGCACCAGTGTGAGACGGGCACCGAGCACCAGTCATGAAGGGCACGTGTGATCAGTGTGTGGGCAAATAAATCACCCTCCGGGGCTCTTTCGACCAGTACTGAGTCTGTGTTCTCATTCACCCCACGACAATATATATATAATAAGGGAGGGGTTTACTCAAAAAGGTATTATAAGGACCAATAGCAGCAAATATGTCAGCCAATCACAACTTCCTATTTTAAAAGTCTCATCCAATAGGTACTGTGGCAGTTGAGGTGGCTGCATTCATATGCTAATCAGAACCATTCTGCCAGCATCCCCCTACACCTCCCCACACCTGCCCTCCCTCCCCCAAATGGTATGTTTCCGACTGTTTCTGGAACCCGCAAATGGGAACTTCCAAGGCTGTGAACTGTCAATAATTGTCGGTGATTAGAGAAGTCATCAGGCATCCACAGGCACGAAAATCTGGCTTTTCATGCAGTGTCTGGCATTTGCATCAGCCACTGCCCTGTCGGAGGAGTCCTTTAATTCCATCACCAGCCTTGCCTTCTCCTGCCTATAGCCCAAGGTGATGGATTTCAGGGGTAGCTGGAGTGAGTTCCATCCATACAGCCCAGCAGCTGAAAAGCACCGCGGTAGGCCGAGCCATTTGCGGATGAAGGAGTTGGCTTTTGCCTCCATCCGGCTTACTGCTGATGAGGTGACTTCACACAGCTTCAGAGGCCACATCACCCTTGGGTACAAGGTGAAGTGATAACACCACACCTTGTACTTTCCAGGTAGCTGGCTTGCATTGATCTTGGACAGGCCTTCTGACAGCTGCCGAAGGATGAATTTCCCCATATCCTTGTCTGAGAGGCCAGATGTATAAAGTCTTCCCAAGCTTCGGATGGGCTGATCCACAATGCGGGGGATGTCTTCCCCGCTAATGGTGAAGGTGACTCTGTCATTTCTCTCCCCCTTTCGCAATGAGAGGCTCCTTGACTTCTGTGGCTTAATCTTCATTCTGGCCCAGGTGATCAGCTCATCCAGCCTTTTAAGCAGCCTGGTTGTACATGGGGCGGTTCGTAGCAGGCAGGTGATGTCGTCCATATAGCTCCTTAGGGGCGGGAGCCTCTGACCTGCAGGCAGCCGGACCCCACCCACCACCTGCCTTGCTATCTCTTCTGTGCCAAAAAGCTCTTTGTTTTTAGTTGCATCTGACCATAAAAAATAGTCCTTTTTGAAATTCCAGTACTGTCTGGCAACTGAACATGCTGGAATGCTTTTGTATGAGAGGCTTGTTGACCCTAAGGCTCGAAGACTCAAATAATTTCTGCAGTTCTCCAACTGTGATCCCTAGAGAGTCTTTGGCCACTTAAACTAACTTTTTCCACTGTGCATAAAGAAAATATAGACACGTGTCCTCTTCCAGGGAGATTCGTAACATCTCCAGCTGATCTTAACTTCTTAATTATTGCCCTGATGGTGCAAATGTAAATTTTGAATTTTTTTTACATCCACTATCTATTTTGTGAAGCTCAACAATCTTTCTCTGCACATCAGAACTATCTTCTTTGGTTTTACTCATTGTGATGGATGATTAAGTGAATTTTGGGTTACATTGTAAATTTTTTTGAATGAAAGATAAAGTTAAACAGTGCAGATTCATTTTCGGTCTTCTTTGGTCCTATTTACCCAGGGTGCCAATAATTCTGACCATGATTGTAAAACAACAGAATTTGTTTAGCAATAATGTGTAAAACAGTGTAAGACAGCCCTTACGAAAAATAAGTTTATTCAAATGTGCTATTAGTGTACTTCTTTTAAGCTAAAAATAGGAAAGTATACTTTTAGTCTACTTTTTATGTACTTCTCAGAAATATACTTAAAATGACATTTAAATATACTTCACTTATACTTAGAAAAAGTCTAAATATATTTTAGCTATAATTGTGCTCCTAGAATCCGTGTTTTCATTGTTATACGGTAGAGGGCGCTAGTACACATCTTATGTACAGAATTTCCAAAAAACACAAGTGAAGAAGAAACCGAAACAACAGATGCTACCACATGTATTCTAACATGATCATCAGACATAAAACAGCATCAAAACTGTGTAACATTATGGAATAAAATGTCGACCAATGAAGAGGTAATAATAACTGTCAAGCTTTGGGGTGTTGATCAACTTTATCTACGTTTTGATTATCATTCTGAATCCAATTTCTTAGTCTTTTTTTCAACTTTTTGTTCAAAATGTTTATTTCTTTATTTTTTATTTATGAAACTTATCCACATTCAAGTGTTTAAAAAAAGAATGCATGAAGCTAGAATAAAATGTTTTTGTTTACAAGCAGATACCCTGTTATTTTGATGTTTTGTATGTTCAGATATTCATGTAACAAAATATATACAAATTAATACCTAAATAGGGACATAGTAGTATACTTAAAGTATGATGTAAAGTTCACTTAAAGAAAACTTACAAGTATACTTGTAGTATAAAACTACTAAACTAGTAGTTTACTGAGACTATACTTCAAAGTGTACTAAAAATGCTACTACAAGTATTTAATTAGTAAACTATCAGTATACCTATAAGT